ATCTGAAATTCTAACTTATTTCCAAGGTGCTGTCGCAAAACCTACCATTATGAATCCATATGTAGGTGCCAATGAATGTCCGCAATTAGACATTGCCATACCATCAGTGAGGGACAGATGTCGTCTTGAACGTGAACTTCATGGGAGAGAAATACAGCTAATGTATCAGAGAGAGCAGATGTTGTTGGAGCAGCAGTTGCATCACAGAGAACAATTGCTGTGGGATCAAGAGCAGTTTAGAAGACAGCAGTTGATCAAACGAGAACAGCAGTTCAGGTGAGTGTGAATATGAATTTATCATCAATTACAAATTCAACATATATATGCTGTAGGTTTAAAGCGCAACAGATGATGATGGAGCAGGACCTGCACAATAGGGATGAAGCCATCCGTGGTGATCATGGTGAGATGATGTGGGAGCGAGATTTATATCAACAGAATCAGATTGTGGCAAGGGCGAGGCAACAGATGCTTCTGCAAAGAGACATGTTGAATGATCAAGAAAATGAAGCTAGCAAGCGTAGAATGCAGATTTATAACCAATGCTATAAGAATGCATTGACTTGCGGACCCGATGTCAAATTATCTTTGCCTGAGCACAAACCTAAAATGCATCATAGAAGTGCTGGTGCCGACATCGATAAAAGTACCTCTCCAAGAAGTCCGCCTTTGATTAGGAGTCCTACACGTATGCAGTCTCCTCCTCGGACAATGACCTCTATACTGATGGAAGAAGATGAGGAAGAAGAAGCTGAAGAAGACACGCCTTCAGTGAGTTCACCCATCTACATATCACCAACACTTGAAAAGCCTTATCCCCCATTGAAGTGCTATTCACATTCTGATATCGAATGCTGTTATAGAAGTGTTCCTGTTCGTTCAAGCAAAATACTTGATGGTAGAGGTGAGTCGATCACAAATAGTACATCATTTATTTTACTGACAGTCTTTATTATTAGTGCCAACGTTCAGAAATCGTGCTGGTAAAGGTTCAGACAGCATTGAAAAGAACAATAAAATCAGGTAAACACTGTGTTCATTTTGACAATTGCACTTGATAATAATATTTTATATATTACAGAAGAAGGAAACCTCCGATTTCCGTTAAACCAATTATGATCACCTCAGATCCAAAGAACTGTGACTGTGAATGCCATATGGATAACAGTAAGACGTCAGAAGAGTGTTGCGATTTCTGCGACTGCTCTATAATTGAGGTAAGGATGGAAGATAATCTGTTTAGGAATTGTCTTTAGATGAAAGTGTCAGTTTGCCTAATATGGTTATAATCTATTTTGAAGGAATCGCAAGCGCAGTCGTCGATCGCTGTTGGTATGATACGTCGAAAGAACCGCCACGCCGGTGACACGCCGTCAGTAAAACCATAACTATCTATTAAATATAATAGACAATAATAATCGATATTGTTCAATTTCAATTAGATCGCTTTCGTCACCTGTTGAGACACCGCCAAAGATGAGACGTATGCTAATGAGTAGAGGCGGCGAGGATACGGAATCAGTAAAAGAAGTGAGGTTCGCCGCCTGTCTTGATGATGTTATAATATTAATCATATCAGTAATATAAATCTCCTAGTGCTCCTCCGAGACGTCTTCACGCACCCGCCAACTTCGTCGCTCTCACGCGTCGCCGTCGTCATCGTCGAGGCCAAGGAGCAGGAGTTATCCGCAGAACAGGTCGTCGGACTTCAGGCAGCAGATTCCCAGCATATTAACTCCGCTCATCAGGGCGCTGACACCGCCTCCAAATCTGAGCGGAGCTGGATCAGCGCGCATCAAACAGGAGGTAATGCAGTCAAGTTCATCACGAAGAATATTTACAAAATTGTCATCCGTTTTTCTACTTTGCAGAAACGTTCAAACGCGCGGAGGCACCGCCATCATCACCACCACAGCCACACCGAGAGGCGCCACTCTCGTCCGGAAACTGTCCAGGAGGAAATTGAAGAGCTAGAGGACTCGCCGAGTTTAATGTATAAAGTTTCATCGACTGTAGACGTTCCGAGGCACAGAAGTCATCGGCATAGAAAAAAGAGAACATCATCAGCTACCAGTGATCGGTATAACATTTTATTCTAACAATTTACGAATAAAATAATATTTGTAATTACATTGTTTCAGGAGAAAAGCTACAAATGATCCTGTGTTTTCAGATGATCAAACAATAGCGGTAAGATATATTACAGATTACATTATATTAAAAATTATTTAACATTATTGAAGTGAAACATCTAATTCGATTTCCAACAACGTGGTATTAAACGTTCAACGCTCTCTAATAGAAAACGACCACTTTGTATGCAACGACCAATTGTTATGCAATTTAAGATTAGATTAGTAAACAATCTTCCAAATAAAGTTCGCCTAAAAGAAATGATATGATTCCACTACAAATCGTATTACAAAGTTTCACTTTTTACGCGTTAAGAAACCTCCATACACGATTTTTTTTATAAATATTTAGCTTTTTAACGAGAAGGCAAAGCAGGCTAAGAGCGAGCTGTTCTCCAACATAGTAGCGCCTACAAGTAGATCCAAACAGAAGAAAAAAAAGTCCAAAACCACTTACCATTGCGTTTATTGCGATGAATACCATGAAACAAAAGGTAAGACACAGGTTAAACAAACAACTGTTACCACAAATTTCAACAAAATTCATTTCCAGGTAAAACTTCTACTCAGGCAGCTGCTGCGCACGCGCAAGCCGCAGCAGAAGCTCTGGAGGATTTCCAGAAGTGCTGCGCAAAATGCTGTTCAGAATTTGCGCACGCTTGCAGCAGGCAGAAGTTTGACAGAGCAGAATTAGTAGTTGCTATGAAAGAAGACAGGGATAACAGATCTGTAGTATCACAGACTTCTGCAGTAGTTATTAATAAAGGCAAAGAAAATGGTAATTAATAACACACACATACAAGCATATATATATTGTTTTTATCCACTTTATGTATTTTTCCAGCAGCTTCCATTGATAAACATTACAAGTACTGCAAGATTAAGGGACCTCATGACTATATCTGTGCGGATTTGTGCATCAACAATGTTGGATCGACAAGTGAAGCTGATACTATCAATAACACATCCAGTCGGTGCATAACGACTGCTGAGGAAGACTTGGATTCCACATATGAGAAATGCTTTGTCAAAAGAGCACATTCATTTGTATGCTGCAAAGAGTGCATTAATGTCAATAATATCGGCGTGAGACCTAAAAAGCGCGTCAGAAGTGTCAACTTCAGAAATTCCAGCATATTTCTTGGACCAACTGAAGAGGATTATCAGGATAAAAGATTTAGGATTCTGGATGGTGTGCGGAAAAGTACTCGAAAGAATATGGAAGGAGATACTTTTAATGGTGAACAAGTGATTGATATGATATTTCACAATGATGATTTCAGAACATCTGGTATTATGGCTTCTGTCGATAAGGAGTTTGATGATTATGGACATCAAATTGCAAGCAGAAAAGGACGTGCCAAAACCAAGAGAGAAAACGTTATATTTATAGCAAGGAATAAGATTTTTTTTGACAATTATACTTTTGTTTGTATTAAACTTTGACAAACTTCATGATTATTCATTTATTAAATAAAAAACTGCGTTGCTTTAATATATTTTAGTATAAACGTATTTATTTACTTTTATTGTTATGAACAAAACTAGTAGAGATAAATTTTGCACCTTTCTTTCAATTTAAAAAACAACGTCTTGACCATTTGTATCACAAAACTAACCAGCGCAAGACCTGATTGAGTTTCATTTAATGACTTTTAAATTTTTGAAAACAGCGTTTAAAACATTTTAAAAAAACATCGGCGAGGAGTAAATTTGTCTCACACTCACATACTTTTTTCAATTTCAGAATAACTTGAAACATTAAATAGCAAATCCGATTTTCTGGCGACGACATAAAAAATTAAGAACTCCTTTAGGAAAACATTCAAAATATTTATTATTTTCATTTGCAAAGTTATAGAATAAAAAAATAAATTATGTATAAATGTATAAAATCAATTATACAAAAATTTACTGACTACTTTTAATTTAAAATACTTTTAGTGTAATATATGTTGAATTGTCTTAGTTTGAATTTGGATTAATAATATTTCCTAATCTTTATCTATATTGCTTCTTCTCTTGCTCCACAATTACTAATATTTACAGAGTCAGTAACATGGCATGCAGTAAAATCATCATTATAAAAATCAAATCATAATCTCTTCACTATTAAATAAATTCCATTCCATAAGCATCCACAAAATCATCCAAATTTAATGTCTTGCACCTGGGCAAACTTTTTCATAATGTCCCAGAACTGAAATAACACTCCTGATATGATATTTGTCTAATGTGTTTTCTCTCAACAAAGTTTTTTTTTGAGAATTTCACATCAAAGTCTTCCTCAGAAGTTATTGACTTCAGATTGGATGTATTATGGACACTGTCAACTTTGATGCAATATATTTTATGCACAAATCCATCTAAACATATTCATACATGAGCATCTAGCAGTTATTGCATGATGATAATGGCATAACAAGATGGTTCCATCTGTTACAATTCTGAACAGCATTTTGTAAAATAGTGCAAGAACTGGCACACGCAAAGCAGCATCATGCGCAATATTTTAACCTAAGTATTGTATTTATCTATTTTAATAAATAAATGGAACTAACAGAAAAAATTTATATTTTACGTGTTTTGCAGTAGGCAGAAAAGCTGTCTCGATTAATAAATCAATAAAATTTTCTTGGTTGTCTGCTTTGAAATCACTGATCAATTTACCTGCATTGGTGGATAGTACAGCTTTGGGCCAATAATAAATAAAAAATCGTTACCTATAAGGTAAAATAAATAATCATTTTATCATTGCATTTATAAAAAAAGTTGATCTTCTGCAAAACAAGAAGCACGCATTCCTATTTCAAAAGAAAACAATAAAAAAAATGAATTAACTCACTTAACATCGTGATGTAAGAAGATCCATTACTTGAAACTCGTTCCTCGACAGACTCTTTTTATTGGAACTTTCTGCATCAACTGGTATGTTTCTACAAGAAAAAATGTTAACTGTGTAATCAGAGTCTACTTGACTGTTTACAGACTTACATCGTTCTTCCTGGTCCTGATGAGTGGTTTCAAAATCCTGAAAATCTGCCTGCAGCCCGATTTGAGCACACTGTGATGACTGTCTGAATTCGTCCCGGAGGGAATCTGAAATATATGTATTTATGCTTATATGCTGAAACCTAAATTTTAGTCACCAATACCTCTTTTATGGAATCAGAGTCTTCTCCACTGCGAGTGACAAAAATTCTGCGATTTGTTGATGGGTACCCTGCAGGATACATATTCAAAAAACGACGTTTTTCTAATGGAACATTTTCATTTGTGCAATTAGCACCAGGTGTTGATGTTATGGGTTGTATATTCATCTGAAAAAATGAATTTAAATAACTCAGAATGTATTTAATTTTAAACCATTCACTCACTGATAATTTGGAACAATCACAAAAGTCGCAACAAACTTCTTGCTTTGTCTTTGCATGATGGCACATACAGTCACAAATTTTTGGGTCAGATGTAATTATTATGGGTTCGATAGAGGCTTTTCTGAAACATCATTAAAATCATGTGAGTACTTTGCAATGGTTTGTTTAAAGTTCATCTTACCTGGCATCACTTAGACTTTTGTTGAAACAGTCTGTACATTTACCACCTCGGCTTTTATTTGTGAATGCTGAGAAAGATTTAATTCAGCAAAATATGTAATTCATGAAAATATAATTAATAAACATACTTGTGTCGTCACTTTTGTAACAACAATCTTCTTCAGAATACACAAAACGCTTGAGATGTTTGGATTCTCTTTGAGCATTACAACAAGAAGCTCCATCACCAACTTTGTCTGCTGTACAATCTTCATCCAATGATACTTCAGGAGTTCTGGCTTTCAAATCAGATTGTAAACCTACAGTAATGAATTTTTCTCCGGTTTCTCTGTTTTCCATTTTTGGTTTAAGTGTCGGTAGTGATAATTCAACATCAGGTCCACAAGTCAAAATATTGTTAAAGCATTTGCTGTAAATTTCCATACGACGTTGGCTGGCTTCATTTTCTTGATTATTCCTGCAACAGTTTCCATAAAACATATGCAGAATTAATTAAATAAAAAAAACATACAGCATATCCCTCTGCAGAAGCATTTGTTGTCTTTCCCTTGCCACAATTTGATTTTGTTGATACAAATTTCTTTCCCAGATCATCTCAGTATGATCAATACGCACTACTTCATTTCTGTTGTGCAGATCCTGCTCCATCATTATTTGCTTTGTCTTAAATCTGCAATAGATACAAGATAAATTTTGTAATTTAATAATAATAATTAGTCTCCACCTATGTTGCTGGTCTCTCTTTATCAACTGCTGTCTCCTAAATTGTTCCTGGTCCCAAAGCATTTGTTCTCTGTGATGTAATTGCTGCTCCAATAGCATATGCTCTCGTTGATACATCATCTGTATTTCTCTACCATGGAGTTCTCGCTCAAGACGACATTTATCTCTAATTGAAGGTACAGCAATGTCCAAAGGAGGACATTTGTTGATACTGACGCAAGGAATGGCTGCAGCACCTAAATAAATTTTGAATTTAGTATTAATTCTAAATTAACCATGAAAGCAAGTATTACAAGCTACTGGCTCAGGTTGGGCACATTTGGATGACGCAGTCGGTGCAGGCGATTGGCATGGTGCAGGCGATTGGCATGGTGCAGGTGATTGGCATGGTGCAGGCGATTGGCATGGTACAGGCGATTGGCATGGTACAGGTGATTGGCATGGTACAGACGATTGGCATGGTGCAGGCGATCGGCATAGTGCAGGCGATTGGCATGGTGCAGGCGATTGGCATGGTGTAGGCGATTGGCATGATGCAGGAGCCTGCTGAAACGCAACACTTTTGTGACAAGAAGCAGTTTGACTTTGGATAAAAGGCTGACCAGGGCATTCTGAAATCATAAAAAAAGAATGATTATCAAATTTTAGCAATTTCAGTTCATGTGCCAAACCTTTATTACAAACAGAAACTTCCTGTGGACTCATTGAAACCACTTTGACACATGTTTCTGTAGCACCTTGGCAATTACATGAATTGTTCTTTGGATTTATCTGTCCATAAAATAGATCTGGAGCAGGACATGCAGTATGATGTATTATTGGATGAAGAGATGGATCAGGCGTGAGACAAAAAGCAAAACATTTTGGCTCCTGGTAATTTTTAGGTGTTGAAAACTGCAAAAGATATTTTAGTGATAATGCTGATTATATAATAACATCATCCTTATTACCTGGACTTGACTAGAAGAGCTGTCTCTTGGTTTTCTGAATGTTGTGCATAACGAGCTTCGATCTAAATTTGTTAAATGGTCTGAATAACCAATAAACGACAAATACAATATACAAATATATATATATATATATATATATATATATATATATATATATATATATATATTTGTAGAGTTTCGAACAAGAATCCAAAAATAATACAAAATAAAAAACAAGAAAAGTTTTTAAAAAAACAATTTCTTTATTTAATTATTTGTTTATTGTCGACGTTTCGGAACTAGGTACGTTCCATCTTCAGGACATCTGTCAAGAAACATGATCTTGATGAGATTTTAGCAAACAATATGTTTAGGAAAAGAAAATAGATTTTTCTTAAATAATGAATTAAATTGTAAAAAATATAATAATGTACAGAAATATGATAATATGTTCAAAATAAAAATGATAAAAATAAATGAGTGGATTATCAGAACAGGATATTAAACATGTAAAAATATGTTTAATATCCTGTTCTGATAATCCACTCATTTATTTTTATCATTTTTATTTTGGAACATATTATCATATTTCTGTACATTATTATATTTTTTACAATTTAATTCATTATTTAAGAAAAATCTATTTTCTTTTCCTAAACATATTGTTTGCTAAAATCTCATCAAGATCATGTTTCTTGACAGATGTCCTGAAGATGGAACGTACCTAGTTCCGAAACGTCGACAATAAACAAATAATTAAATAAAGAAATTGTTTTTTTAAAAACTTTTCTTGTTTTTTATTTTGTATTATTTTTGGATTCTTGTTCGAAACTCTACAAAATATACACAAATCCAAGACTCTACCATTCAATATATATATATATATATATTAGGGTGGTCCTTAAAATGGTCATTTTCGAATTTCCTTGCTCCCAGGGGCTCAAATGGATCCAAATAGATAAAAAACAATTTTCTGAAAGTTTTAGCTCTTAATATTAACGTTTAGATAGAGCGCAATTCAATCAAAGTTTTGTATGGAAATAGCATGGAAAATTTTTCAAAAAATTTAAAAATGTTTTTTAGATGTAATTTAGCAAACAGATGAATGAATAAAACTCATTCATTTGTCGCTAAGTTACGCCTAAAACACGTTTTTTTAATTTTCAAATTCTTTTCCATGCTCTTTCCATACAAACTTTGATTGAATTGCGCTCTATCTAAACGTTAATATTAAGAGCTAAAACTTTCAGAAAAATGTTTTTTATCTATTTGGAACCATTTGAGCCTCTGGGAGCAAGGAAATTCGAAAATGACCATTTTAAGGACCACCCTAATATATATATATATATATATATATATATATATATTTAATAGTACCTCCAGACATAGATGGCATTTCTGACCCAGCAGTCGTTCTACTACAACCCAAAGGTGACCTTCTTTGCTTCAGCCAACTCAAAACTTTAGAATCCTCTTTCTTTTCACTTGTGCAAAGACATCGGCTGTTTGAAAATTTGAAACAAACACATAATTAGTAGTAAGTTATATTTCAATAAAGGCACATTGCATGAACTTCCAGATACATGTAAATAATAAATGTGACTTAATAATAAAACTATCAACTGTTTATTTGAAAAATAAAATTCTTGCTTTCACTGAAAACTAATGAATGCAATTTCCAATTGATATTTTCCAAACAAAATAATAATATCTACATTTGTATTAATTATACTCTCAGAACATACACGTATATTGGGAGTATAATAACGTTTTGTACTAACTTGTCTTTTGTAAAACAGAATAAACAATATCCAGAACACAACAGAAAAATCTGGAATACTGTCAATCCTGTTCCCAAAATTATTAAGTATGTTTTATGATCCTGCATCATCTCTGTAACCACTGGAAGACAACCCTGGATAAAAAAAAACAATTCATAAAAACCTTTTGAAAACATGCATACTTTTATTTCCTGAACGATAAATTTATGCTTTAGCCAGAAAATGCAATTCATGTTTCAAGTCATTCTAATCGTTTGACACCGAAGTAGAAAACCGTGCTTTTTCCTATCTCGGTGTCAAACGTGTGTTAAAAAGTTTGAACTTTTATCAATTTTTTGGTAAGGACATAAAATTCTCTTTTGGGAATTTAATTAATTAAGCATATGAACAATTTATATTTACAAAATATTTATTGGAAGTAGACGTCAAAAATCCATCACTGCAGTTTTTGCCCTTTTTGCAACAAGCCATTGGAATCCATGATTCATTGTAAAAATTGGGATCCTGACCTCGGACACCGTTGAAGAATGGTTTGAACTCAGTGAAATTCTCGCTGGAACAGCATTCATAATCTAAAGTGGATGACAAAAAATTAGCATTGACTAAATTTAATATAAAAAAGATTGTTGGAAGAAGTTATACATTTTTTGCCATTGGTGGGTATTTGAAACTATTATAAAGTACATAAGTTGATATTTATGCTAGTTGACAAAACACACATTCCACATAATTCGACACTGCCTAGTACATTTGGCCAGAACTTTTTGACCAATGCCTAAGAGTGTCTTTTGAAATCCTGTTTAAACCATAATCGATTTTACCATGCAAAACCAAAATTGTTCTCAGTGAATCTTGTACTATCAACTCCAATCCCAATTTAACCATTGTTCACAGAACTCACAGAATCCTGCTGATATTCACAGACCCTGATGATAATCTGAATGTGTTATTCTTCTTGTTGACTTTACCATAAAACCATAGTCATTTGTGGACTAATTAGAATAAGCAGCAATTATTCTGATCTACTATAGTCGATTCAAAAGTGGTAGTAAGATGAGTATGTTGTTAAATTTGGATTTTTTATGATTTGCAGATGTCCAGTAGTCATAAAAGAATCTATAGTTCCACTCAACAACTCATTTTCGATATGGAAAATTTATTTGTGATAATAACATATGCGATTTGTCTACTTTCTAAGTGGCTACCTGTCTAAATTCTCTTGATATTTACAAGAGTCGTACTTTGACTTAGCATCAAATTTCCATTATTTTGTTTTCACCAATTTTTCAAGTAGATAATAGGTACACTAAATATAAAATTAAAGTAACAAATAAATAAAATATGAATAAATTAAATTAAAATAGGCACAACTTTGTGCAAGGTTTTGAAAGAGACATCAGAAGTATAACTTCAATGAATATTTATATGAAAACATACGTATCATTAGATCATCGAAAAAATGCACAACTTTTGGTATTGATTGGTTTTTTGGCTTCTCTTTGATGCCGTTGTAAGCAGTGTAGACATCGATAAAGGCTTCTCTTGCGCTGTCTTCATTCTGATAAAAAAAAGAAAATAGATTAATTATTGATTGATTAAAATTATTTATTTTAATATGATATTTACGTCGTTTGCACCCAGCATCATGACCATCACCAATGCAAGCTCAATAATCATCAATATCACAAAGACGATTGAAAACTGATGAAGAAATAAACAAACATAGGACATTCAATTTGAAACAATTTTCTCAAATTCATTATTCAAATTAATTAATCAAATTAATTAATTAATAATAATTACAAGTGGTATTATAAATATGTGCTCACAGATCAGTTGTAAGTCAACACTGAATAAGTGTAGTTCACTTGTTCATTTACAATTCCATTTTTGAAAGAATACCAAGTTGCTTTAGAGATATTTGTTGTTAAAAATAGACATAGAATATTTATTATTGAATACATTTCTCAAATACACTATTCAAATTAATTGTATGGTTTGAAAATTACAAGAGATATCATAAATAAATGCATAAATGCACAAGAATACCAAGTTACTTATGTCCTAATAGCACAAGGCAATATTATAGAATGGTGAATTTTTCTAGTTTCCTTCATTCAAAAAAAATCTAGCGCTTGCCCTGTGCATCCGGGCCTAACTAAAAATGTATAAGAAATGGTTGTATTAGGTGAGGACGACATGGCAAGCACTCGAACTAATGACTATAGTAGTATATGTATTTATCTTAAGGTGAAATACCACTTACACCTATTTATTTATTCTTACCACTCTGACAGATAGAGCACATTCTTTAAAAGCAGCATAACATCCAAAGAAACACCAAACAAAGATAAAAACAGCGCAAAATATGAAAGCGTAAGTAATATTTTGAATAAATTGTGGCTCACGAACTTCCTTGAAATATAAAAATTATATTAAATAACAAAACAAATATAAAAAAGTGTATCATCATATATATCATTGTGTATAACATCACAAGAAGCATATTTACAGCAGCTTTTTCTATTCCAACATATTCAACGTTTGCCAAAAAAACCAAATAACTCCTTTTAACCATAACCATCCATATCGATACCACCAGAACAGCACCAGCAATCAGCTAAAATAATAAAATATCTTTATGATTATCTGGAATTCTATAAATATATAAATATAAAAATATGTGGAATTCTACAAGTATATAAATATTTAGGTATTTACCATACCTGAAACATATAGGATAAAAATACGAATATGAAAAACATTATGGAAAATGTCAGTGACAATTTTTTTTATGACGAACATAATTTTGTTTTTGTAATCAAATTTTAAAAATAGATTTGAGGGGCGTTTTTTCTTAAGACAAGTCCATAAATTTTCGAAATTTTTAAGTAATCGAAGTAAAAAATAAGAATTGAGATTTAGCTCTTTTGCTGCAATTTTCAATGGTTTGCTTAAAAATAAAGATTTCCAAATTGACATCTTCCAAACTTTAATGATTTTTTATAATTAAATCATTTTTCCTAAGCCTATAGTATTTCAGATGTTCATTTACACCTTGATCTCTATTACTATGCATTGTTTCATTAAAACAATTAAGTAATTAAATAAAGAAACGGTCTTTACAAAAAATTTAATTTGCAGTACTCCCAACTGATATCTTACAAACATTCTTTGAATTTTTAAGATCCTTTAAAAATGTTTGATGAAATGTAGATGAAAAATATTGCACTTGTGATATGAAAGCTATTATGTTAAAAGGAAAAAAAGAAGTGGGACTGAATCCAATTTCGGCTTCGAAAGTATGAAAATGAGAAACATATAATTAACAAATTGGATTTTCTGTCAAAAACAAACTTTCATTTCTTTCAGAATGTTAATAATTAATTTAAGATCTAAATTAAGATTAACAAACATTTTTCTTTAAAGCGAATTGACTACATGTGTATATACTTAGCTTGATCAATAAAAAGTGAGAAAAAAAAACTTATTTTTATAATGAAATGCCAAAGCAATGATGAACACAAAATACTTTACAGGCAAGCAAACTAAATAGCATTGATTTGTAGTTAGTTAATTATATTAATTAAGCTTTCAATTATATTATTTATACATATCATTAAACATGTCTTAAAGCAAAACTTCACTTACACCTAGGCGCAATATGAAATAAGTTTTACATTAACACTGAAATGACTAATTCAACTACAAAAGTGTTATGTTTACCAAAAGTATTCTATTTGATTGAGTTTTATAATTAATGTTTAATTGAAACATTATATCTGACTTTATTTAATATAAAACATCAAATATTTCCATAATGTTTGAGCTTTCACATGTAAGTTTGCCGGCGAAATTACAATACAAACAAAAGTAAAATTATCCTTATTCCTTGCTATAAACATAATGTTTCCTCCTCTTGGTCTTGGCATGTCCTTTCCTGCTTGTGATTTGATGTCCATAATCATCAAACTCCTTATCTACAGAAGCCATAATACCAGACGTCCTGAAATCATCATTATGAAATATCATATCAATAACCTGCTCACCATTAAAAGTACTCCCACTCAAGGCATTAGCTGTACTCCGATGCACTCCATCTAGAACCGAATGTCTACCATCAAGATAATCTTCTTCAGGAGTTCCCAGAACTATGCTAGAGTTCTTGAAGTTAACGCTCCTGACTCGCTTTTTTAATTTAGAACCAAGATTTTTTTTATTGACACATTCCAAGCAGCAGATAAATGAGTGTGCTCTTTTGACAAAGCACTTTTCGTATGTGGAATCCAAGTCTTCGGCAGTCGTCATTGTATCTGCTTCGCTTGATGATCCAACATTGTTCATGCACAAATCTGTGCATATATAATCATGAGGCGTCTTTATCTTGCAATAGTAGTAACGTTTGTCATACACAGGAGCTAAAATAGATAATAATCAATTCATGAAATCTTCTTATGCAACTTCCAACAAAGATAGAGCGAGTTTTGTGGATAAATGATGTATATTATCTAAAAAAAATTGTCTAAAAATATTGAAGACTACCATTGCTGCAGTTTTTGCATGAAATATTGAAGCAATAGAACTCAAACACTTTGTAAACATTACTTCACTCAAG